GTGAGTCCGTTATAATAATGCGTGTATGAGTGCTCTTGACGCACTGATCGCACATTGTATTTATGCGCAGGCACAGACATTTCCGTACATTCACGTTGTTTCCACACATATTCACGATAATGTTTTGATTTGTCATGTGTATGTTGCTGTGTTTAGTTATTCTGAATGGATCCGTGTACTGTAGTAGATATGCAGTCAGCAGGCGGTTGGTTTAAGGTTTTTTTGGCATCACCATGTGTGGTCCTGTTCGGTATCGCAACTTGACTTCTCTAAAATGTAAAAAAGATCTTTGCTGTTGCACTGTACACATACTATACAATTCAGATTGTTTTTTCTTTCATGTGTGCTTATATGGGCTCCTTATGTCATTTGGTTCTTTGGTGTCCTTTTGGAGTTTCTAAGTGAAGAAAGAAATCTAAATTTATCTTGAAAAAAGCTTGCAGAAAATACAGATTTTTGAGAATCACCCTTCAATCTTTTGGTTTACTTTGCTGGATATAACAAATTATGACAAAATAAACATTTGAAACAAGATCAGTGCTTGGTCTATGCTTAGATATTTATCTAAGGTCTATGCTTCATTTCATGAAGTGTGCGAATAATCGCGATTAATCACAGAAAAAGGGTGTGATTAATTTGATTAAAAATGTTAATCTATTGACAGCCCTAATTTGAAGCTTTGTTTTTTTCGCCAAAACATATCATCCATATCCTTTGTTAGAAGTTACTGAGATTAATCGCGGTGCAAATGCATATCAAACCAAGGGTGGCAAACAGTATGGTTCAGTCCTTTACTGAGAACCGTTGCACCCCAATCATGGTATACTATAAAGTGCCCTCAGAACACAATATATACAAAATCACTATTGCTATATATATATATATATATATATAGCAATAGTGATTTTGTGCACTAACCCTGTTATCGTGATCAGGCATGGTGCTGATACACAAGCTGATAACTGTCACAGCAATCATGACCACTGGGAAACAGGCAAATGTTTTCCCAAGCCAGCCAGAATGAGGGTTTTCCACTATTTCTTGCAGCCGGCTCATGAGCCAGATGTAGCCCTTCTCTTGTGCTAATGGGCTCTGTAGGGCTAGCCTTTTCTGCCTCCTCTCTTCCTCATTCCTTTTCTTCTCTCCTACTTCCTCCACACGGGACAACAACTTGCGCCGACAGCAGCGTTCCATGTGAACAGGGTCGATGCCCCAATAGGTGAGTTCGTCAGACAGTGACACAGCACACACCTGACGCAGCAGCCTCAGTTTCCCTGCAGCCAGGAAGTTTAAGATGACCTGGAAGGCCACCGAGCTATGGTCAAAAAAGAACTCTCGCTGGGCCTCATCATAATCATCACAAAGCTGAGCGATATCAACTGGGCTGCTGCAGTGACACAGCCGTCCCAAACGAGTGAGTGGGAATTGCTCCAGTGTGCTCCAAGGAAATGTGTAGCGATCTCCTCCGACGTTGATAAGGGCTAGTTTACTGTGGTCAACATCTCTGAAGGCCAAAATGTTGTGTAGTCGCTGGGCCCGTTGAAAGTACACACCTTTGATGGTTTCGCTCTCTGGAATTTCAGAGAAAGACAGGTCAAGACTGCTGTTGTCTGTGCTGACTGAGAGATTGCTCAAGTCATGGTTGGCATTGCTGATGATGGGCATCGTAGCATTTGGGGATGTAAATTATTTGAATGTAGTATGTGGAGTTTAAGCAGGTAGCAAAGCACTGGAGCTGGCAGAGAACTGTGAAGTAAAAGAGTATTATTTTACTGAAGCATCAGCATGACCAATATCAACATATCTGGAATGCACATTTTGTGTCAAGGAATCGTCAATGTATTTCTTTTATGTTCAGTTTGAGACCAACTAATGATGTTTCTGTGAAACTGTGTGCAAATACATGCATTCACATTTACAAGAGTAACTAAAGAAAATTACATTTATTTTTGTATAAACATACTGCAAAATAAAAATAAATAAAAAGCTAATACATTTTACAAGAAAAATGTCATGTTTAATTTAATGTGATACTTCCCATTACTTTGTAATTATTTGTGAAATTTACTAGAAATTTCTGATTAAAAATTGTTTTAAAGTAAATCCTACACCAATTTTTTAGATACATGTGATCTACAATTTTTTTGCAGATCACATAAAAAAAACATCTTTCCACAAAGACATTTACTAGTTATATAAAAAAGATCAAGAATTCTACATAAGCAATAATTAAATATTGTTACACACTTTCAAAAATTATAGTACCTGTCATCATACAGTGATTATATCAGATAAAAATACCATAGTACTTTGACACTCTAATGTGCTTCAAAAACATAATAAATAAAATAATAAACGTGGAATACTGTACACTATACAAAGTGAAAACCTACAGTTGTTACCTTAAGGAGGAGCTACATTATTTCTACCTGTTTTTAAATAGTGAGGGATGTGATCTGACCCTTAGAAATGACTAGCCAGTTCATTCAGCTGTTCCCTGTTATGTAAGTACACCTTCTATTTATCTAATAATGTCAAGGTTTACTTTTGAAATTTTGAAATTAAGGTAAAATCTTACGCCATGACATAAATTGTGCTCACTCACTGGTATTTTTCCATTTAAGAGAAATCAAACAGCAATGCCTCTATTAAAAAAGGTGTTTGGCTCTTTTAACTGTAAATTGGGACTTCCTTTCCTCTATCAAAAAATGTGATTGCCTCTTTTAAACGTAGGTGGGATTACAGCCGCCATATTATGTGTTATTATTTCACACATTCATATGAAAGGGTGGCCCACCTCTTCATCTTAAATTATTTAGTGTGTGCAACCTTTTAAAATAAAATCATTTAATTTAGATGTCACCAAATGAAGCACATTTACCAGATAAAACATGTTTTCAGTGTACCATGATACTTTGTGTATTTTTGTTGTTATTAGCCAATGTAACTTAATAAGATACATCAACACATTCACTACAACATACAATAAAATTTAAAGTTTCACCACTTACCTGCTTAAAATGTCAAGGATTCTCTCATCCTAATAGAACGTTCTAAACGTTTGAACTAATCTATGATAAGATTATTAAAATATGTTTTCTTTTAAGGTTTATGACCCAAGTTTAAATAGTTGATAGGATTAAGTTTCTCGTCCCACCTTTAAAGTAAGTTTAATGCAGTTAAATGTTGCCATGAGCCCTTCATGTGTGTCTCTTACTGGACACTTAGATGGACAGGAATAATCTGCTTGTTTCATAAAGATCACCCTGAATTCCAAACACAAGTGCCTGGGAAAAAAGGTTGAGTGAAAAAAATGCTCTCTGGAATAAAACCGATTATCTAACACCAGTGTCCTCCGAAAGCCCACTGTTGTTTATCTTTCTGCTTTTCAGATATTAAAGTGCATATTCCAGGTTAGGGACCCCAGTGAGTCGATGTATAGAAAAATAATGTAGGAACTAGATACTTTAAAGGGGTCATATGATGCGATTTCAAGTTTTCCTTTCTCTTTGGAGTGTTACAAGCTGATTGTGCATAGATAAGATCCCTGAAGTTGCAAAGACTAAAGTCTTAAAACCAAAGATACGCTATTAAGGCTTCTGGAGTCGTTTTTGTGAGAGAAATTTACTTCCGCATCTGAAAACCGCCAAAATCGGAAGTGACGTAAAGAGAGGGAGAGTGGTCCATAGGAAAACAATGGATCGCAATGACAGTTCGGACACTGAGGAAATTTTAAATGTTTATTTACAATTATGACGGACCACAGATACAATTATGAGCCTGCTATTAGTGATGCAAAGTCCGATTCATTTCCGCGAACCGGTTCTTTTCGGACAGATCGGCTCATTGAACCGATTCAAAAAGCCGATTCATCGGTTCCTGACGTCATCAAGCAATAACGTCTCTACGCATTTATTTTCTAACAAC